GGCCGGACGGGAGGCACCCCAGGGAGGCACTCGGAGCCTGGAAGGTGGGCGGCGCAGGGAGGTGGGCGGCTCAATGCAGGAGCGCCCCCTACTGGCCCGCCACAGAGTCCCACCAGGTTTCCGTTATCCCTGTGACATCACAATTATTTGCACTGAGCATGAGGATGAGCTCCTCCTGCTTATTCCCCAAGCTCCTGGCATTTGTGTACAGGCAGGCAAGTGTCCCCTTGGGGGCTCTTGCCTTGCCCATAGATTGTACCAGGGCTGGGGCAGGGGTGGGATCCCCTAAGTGCCTTGGCCTGCTGGCTTTGCAAGGGTTGCTCAGCAGGCCAGCAGTGGCGGTAGTCCTCCCATCCCCCAGTGGGCTTAATTAAAAGCCCGATGGAGCAGGTCAGCCACTCTGGCTGAGAAGAGTCTTCTCCCCAGTGGAGAGAGGTGGAGGCCATATCTTCCCAGCAGGTTGCTTCCTCTAGAGTTGGCCTACACTCAGGAGTGTCCTCTGACACACACATCACCACGAGTTACACTGGGTATGACAAGAATCCATATTCCCCTTTGGGCTGGGAGTACTCAGGGCCTTCCCCCACCTCCAGGAGTGACTGCAGGGGACATTCACAAACCACCCAGAAATCACGTCTGTCCCTGAGAACCAGTGGGGTAAAGCTCAGCCCAAGGGGGTGTCTGCTCAAAGTGGGCCATGTACTTGGTCCAAAGCAGAGCAGCTCCTGGGCATCACCACCGCACCATCTCCCCATGCTGCTTGGCCCACACACTCATACCTGTGAGCCCGCTGGACCTGGACTTTGACTTCTTCAGGGCCTCGTGCTTCACGCAGGACTGGTACTCGACCCTCTTGTCCTCAGGCCCCGTAGTGGGGACATGCTGCTCAGACTCCACGCTGTAGGACTTCCTGTCCGGCACCTGGCTAGGGGTGGAGGTGTGGATCCTCTGGGGGTCTGAGCTCTCCAGGGCCCTGGGCTCTTTCTTTCTTGCTTTCTTTCCCAGCCAGGTCATTGCCAGCTGCTTGGGGTTGCACCCTGATAGACGGGTCTTCATGGTCACCAGCTGCTCAGGGATCAGGGCCTGTGTCTGGGAGACCTCCCCCAGGTCTGGAGGGTGGAGATGGCAGGCTGCAAAAGGTGGGAGCAGCATGTCACCAAGTAGCCCCCGACCCTGGTACTAGAACATACCCATACACTGCCCTTGCCTGCCTGAGCCCAGCTCCTGGCAGCCTCTGCCATGGGCTCCTGTCGCACACCCAGAGCAGCAACAGGTGCCTCCTGTCCCAGGCAGCCTCCAGTAGGGCTAGGTATGAGGGGTCAGGCACTGCCATGGGGTCGCGGCCCCTCTGGGCTGGACTGAGAGACAGGCGGCTCTGCTCCCCTATGGACCCTATTCTTCCTATTGTGGGAAAAGCCTCTGCCTGCTCCTTCATGGTCGCCCTCCCCCATCTCTGGCCTGTCCTTCCCACTGTGACCTGCAGCCCAAGACATCTTTTCAACAAGTTACTGGTTGTGGCAGTCCTGGCTCCTGCTCCCAGGGCTCTGACCAAGGCACCAGTCATACCCGTTCCTGCACTTGGTTACAGGAGGAGGGAACAAGGCAGAGCTCAGCTTGTGGCATCGCTGTGAGGGGAACAGGGTCTGCACAGATTCATCGTGTCAGGAGCTGGAAGGGACCTCACAGATTATTGAGTCCGGCCCCCCCACTCTAGGCAGAAAGACAATTGGGGTCAAGTGACCCCAGTGAGGTGACTGTCCAGTCTCCTCTTGAAAACCTCCAGGGCAGGTGACTGCACCACCACTGAAGGGAGTTTATTCCAGTCTGCACACCCTGACTGGGAAGGAGTTTTTCCCCATATTAAACCTGAAGCAGCCTTCCAGTTTATATCCATTGGTCCTGGTCTTCCCCAGGGGTGCCGTAGTGAACAGTTGTTCACCGAGCTCCTGATGCACTCCTCTGATACAGCGGTAAGCCGCTAGCAGCCCCCCTCAACCGTCTCTTTGTTAGGCTAAAGAGGCCCAGGTCCCTCGGCCTCTCCCTGTATGGCTTGCCTTGCAAGTCCCTGATCGTATGGGTGTCTCTTTTCTGAATGATCTGACCTAGGCAAGTGTTCCTCCCAGTGTGTGCCTGGGTCATTGGAGTCACCCACGACTACCAAGTGCCTTGCGCACGCGGCCTCCGTCAGTTCTCAGGAGAACTCCAGACCCAGCTCCTCCCCTTGGCCCAGAGGCCTGTAGTAAATGCCTGTGGTTAGGTTTCTCTCACCTCGCCCCCCACTCCCTCCCTAGCTTGACAAAGATGGTTTCAAGGTATTTATCTTTGGAGCTACTGTCAGCCTCCAGAATGCTTTAGTTCTCATTCACATAGAGAGCTACCCCTCTGCCTTTTCTCCTTACTCTTTCCTGAGACAACTGAGCCAGGCCCCACCTGCAATCCCCTTCTCCCTCAGGCTGCAGGGGCAGGGCAAGGGAAAGGGCTGGTTTCCCCTGCGCCTACCTCTGGTGCATGGCCTGGCATCCTTTATGCCCCAGCTGCTATCCTCAAACTCATGGGCCAGAGTTTGCTCTGGGATGCTGGGGTGCCCATGCACCAGGAAAGCAGGGGCCTGGATGCAGCAGGACCTCTGCTTCTTGATGCTCCTGCTCC